GAAAACGACCTGATCCGCTTCGCGGCTGCGTTTCGAACGCCAGTGTGAACAACCTCGACAGTTTCAAGTAGAGGTGTAAAATTTACGAAAACGTAAAGGAGAGAAAATACTTTTTAAGTTTCGTTTCATCAAAATGAAGAACCCGCAAGGTGGGCGCCATGGATCACATTATTTTTTTTTCTAACGTAATCCAATCGAGGAGGTTTGTGTTCCTAAGCACACACTTCCCTGATACGTTGCGGGCGGTTTTAACAGGGCAGCAGATACCTCGTGACGAATGCGACACTGGTAAAACGGTGTGACACTTTGCGCGCTTTTACATTTTCTTGCTTCAAATACCCAAAGCCGATTCAGATTAAAAACACCTTCAAATGCAGGCGAACTGTTTTGTAAAACGCCCCTCGAAGTTGCTATTTTGAAGTAGCGAAACATAAAAGAGTGAAGATGTATAAATGTAATATAGCAATCGTTCCTCATAGAATTAAAAAAAAAAAACAACAAAAAAAAAAAACTCGCAGTTGGTTTTGGGAATTTCTGACAAAGGAATCGTACGTAGAAAACCTGTTATAGCGTCGGTAACGTCGGTGCGATCGCGTGCATACCTAGAAGTGGGGACTCATGCTGCATTATGCAATGACACGCGGTCCACGGGATGAGGTCATCCGACGCTAATGACGTCACATTCATGTCGTTTTAAAAGAAACACGCGTCGGTTTTTCCCTGCGTAAATATTTTACGCGAAAACTCAAACTCCATAAAAATGTTATTAGACCGACAAAGGTATGCCTGGAAAAAATGGAGCTTTATTTTCAATGTTAAACTTATTGGAAAAAAAAATGACGTGTTTTTTTAATATATCTTTTTTTATTTTTTAAGGAATCTTTTTTTTTTTGTGTGTGTCACGTTGCCAAGGCTAGGTTATCACATCCCCAGTGCTTTAACGCTGTCGAAGCATGTGCGCGAGCGCGTGGGTTCGGTAGGCGTGTCCTTCGCACGACGGCACGTGCGAGTGAAGCGCAGGATGGAGCCACGTGCTTTCGCGGCAGTCTAGGACTGCAGCATCGCGGAAACTACGGTAACTTTAAAAACGTGGATTAAAGGGGTACGGAAACCAAATTCTGGAGCTCATTTCTTTGTTTCAACACGACACAGGTAGCAGCACAACCACAGAAACATAAATATTGCGCTAGAAAACGCAAGAAAACATATTTTGAAGTGAATTAAACGATAATCAAAAACCACCTGGTAGTTGGTTATGAAGCTTCAATGGAATGTCGTGACGACAACATGCCTCTGAAAGCAGCGCCGCAGCGGTATGTCCGCTCACTGGTATAGATTGCCTAGGCCTGAACGCAATACCGAGGCGTCTTGGAGGAAAGAGCCAAAACGAAGTGAGCCACCTTGGTTTCAGCTCTCGCGCGACGTGCAAACGCGTGCTTCGGTTGTTCTCAGGTTTGGTGCGCGTGCTGGCCCCGCGATATCTACAGCCCTTGGGTACTTCGACAAAGCGAGATTGTAACGCGTTGACGCCTCCAAGTGGCAAAACTCGTCACTACGGTACGCTTGGTCGTCCGAGGCATGATGACGTCAAGACGTCTGCCGGATCTCCCTAGATGCATAGCGCTCCTCCACGGCTGATTTTGAAGCGCTCGCCAAAATCGCGGCATTTAGAGCATAAAATATAGCCATCTGCTCAAAATACGACCGTGCGATTATTCATTACAGGCTTAGCTGATCATATTGAACTCATTTCTTGATGTTTTCTCTATATTTCAAGTTTCGATTCCGTATCCCTTTAAAAAACAAACAAACAAACAAGTAATGTACAATGTAGACGTTCACCAAGTTCGGTAAAATATATTCGTGGGCACTGAAAATTTAAGCTTCAAACTTATTGTACGCGCACATTATTACATTTAGACCTACGGAACAAAAACTTCTCGGATCCAACAATTTGCTTTGTCATTCAATGAATGAGTAACCCTCGAAAAGGTAGAGCGATAAATAAACACCAATGACGTAGTACAAAAAAGTAGCGCAAAAAGTAGCGCAGAAAACGTGCACAAACAACGTAGAACAAAAACTCAATCAATCAGTTATTCATTCATCGATGAGTATATGAATAAACGAATGAATGACGCGATTACGCTGCTCCCGTCGGTGCCCTTCCAGCTTTGTATTACCCGCGCCGGGAAGTATTGTGAAACGCCTAGGTGGCCTGACGTAATGGTGGAGAGATGGCGCCACCGTCCTTAGTTGAGCGTGCTTTCGAGTGCGTCCTTGCGGAGGGGCCCTCAGTTCAGGGCATTTGACAGCGCTCCACTGGGGTGCAAACTCCGGTGCGGTGTATGTAGTCACTTGATTTACTTCAATGTTCTTATTGCTTCACGAGGTTTCGTAGCTTTTGTTGTTCACCAAGTTATGTTTAGGACGGAGTATGTGTCGTTCACGGCCTTCGTCAATAGAAACGAAATCCGTTCCTTCATTGGGCCGGTAAAGGCGAGCGGGTTGATTATGAATACATAAAATTGAAAGAATAAAACACGGAGGACAAGCACGTGGTTGTCCTATGCTTGTCCTCACTGTTTTATTCTTTCAATTTTATGCGTTCCTTCAATCTTCTCCTTTTTTTGGGACGCATTCCCTTTTAATTACGTTTTGCGCTACATGCAGTGTATTTGATGCACAGTAATTCTGGGACCATCTTTACATAAAGATAAAGACATACTGATTAAAAGTTCACGCATTATAGTTTGCATAACTTGGAGATCTATTATGGCTGCCGCTCTCCCATCTTGAAGGTGTAAAGAAATGAGCAATGTTTTTCTTTATAAACTTGTGTGTGCATAACAAACTTGCATTTTAATTTATAACGAAATGAAAAGAAGAAGAATCGTTTTGTCGCTTGGTCAAAGATGCAACGATTTCTCCTCTCAGTTCCACTCATGCAAAATGTTAAGGTAAGGCGTTCCTTACAAAAGAAGTACCGGACGTTCCTGAGATAAGTGTACCGTATTTTTCGACCTGCGTAAACAAACTCTGCACAGCGGAAAGCTCAAACTCCGTGAGAATGTGACACTAGCAGTTGGGATCGAACGCGAAAGTTTGAGAACATGAAGTTACCTGGATAAAAGGATAGTTGAGAAAGACGCAATTTCTCCATGAGGCGACATCCACGTAAGCCTAATATTCGCAAAACAAGAACTGACATTGTGGACGCGTGTGGGATTTATACAAGTGAAAAACACTTGTCAGCAAGTAAGAAAATATTCTATTCTTTTTTGCTGACAAGTTTTTTCGCTGAAACATATGCTACGGGCATCCACAATGGTATTTCTTGTTTTGACGATATTATGCTTAGGTGATGTCGTCTTATAGAGAAATTTAGCTTTTCTCAATTCTCTTTTGATCTGGGTAACGTCATATGTTCTCCAACGTTCGCGTTCTATCCCAACTGCTAGAGTCCCATTCTCACAAAGTATGAGCTTTCTGCGAAGCATGGTTTATTTACCTGGACCGACAAACATGGTTCTCTCTTTTCTGGGTATGTTACATGAACGCTGTTCCGCAGAAATAACCGTGAATCTTCGCTGAAAAAATTCCTGCGCACGCGCGATCTCTCCTGTCACCTAGCAGTGGAGGCCAAGGCCGTAATAGAGCTGCGTTTCTTACGCCACTTACAGGAGGTCATTGTGGGGCACATATACCGGTAGCAAGTGCTGCGTGGGCTTTCAGCTGGGAACTCGTGTTCAATCAGTAAGAACACGAATCGCAGCCACAACGCTCACACAGTACTAGAGTTCAATCTGTGCATTCTGCATTGACGTCCGGCAAACGACATTAAAAAAAGAAAGAAAAAAAGAAAAGATCAGCTTTACGGCCAGGTTAGGAAGTGATTTTGAGAGGAAATCTAGCACAGCGCGGTGCTTTAGAGGAGAAACTGGGCTCACACGGGCTTCGGTGGACATGAAGATAGCAGACGGCACTCGCGTCGGATGATATTCGATCTAGGTTCCGTTATTGCGTGGAAAAATTGCTGGAACTTGGTCTGCCTCAACGGGCGGCGAGTCTCCCAGCTGTAGATGAGCAATTTAGCCAGTGCAGCACAACCGCTAGCCTGGGGTCTTGAACGTGCACCACGCAGTAGTCATACACGACCGCACGCCTGCACGATGCTCATCCAGATCGATATTGTGTGAACTATCTGCGTTGCCACCGTTTCGCAGAGTAGCGATGCTTGCGAAAGTAGAAAAAAGGAATAGTCCGAGACAATGCGGAACGTAAGTTTGTGTGCTTCTCTTGCAGGGGTTGTGGTGACGTCAGAACTCTGAATTTTGATTGGCTCTGATTGGAAGGGTAGTGGGAAGACCTCGATGCTAGACGCCCTGAGGTCTACCCATTATCCTTCAATCAGAGCCAATCAGAGCTCGGCGTTCAGACGTCACCACAACCCCCGCAAAAGAAGCAGACAAACTTGCGTTCCGCATAGTCACCGACCGCTTAAAAAGCGCAGGACGTGGCCTGTCCTGTGCATCTCATTACCGCTGCGTAGCCAATGAGATTTCAGCATTGCCAGACAAGTACGTCGAAGAACCGATCGCGAAGCAAGAAGCGTGAACATAAGTTCCTACGTTTCTCAAGCTGTCGGTCAGTATAGAGTACCGCCTATCTGGGGGGGGGGGGGGGGGGGGGGGGGGGGGGGGAGCGAAAACTTTGTATTTCTTTTGGTTTCCCTCTTGCATTAAACGACATTCCCCACAATCATCATCATCAACAACATTATCACAATCGTCTGACGACAATGTGCCGAACCCGAACCGGTCATGAAGGGTGGAACAGTCTGTTTGAAAGCCATCTTCCTGCGACCCTCGGAGTTCTCCTGGGTCGCTCTCTTGGGTCCAGGACTGTGTCCCAACCCCGTGACCGTCGGCGAGGCAACGGTACTATACGTTCAAAGGCTCCTTACCCTTTCTTGCCTGTTCTTTTTTTGTTTCACCCAGGGAGGATTGCTTGTCGCAGCGGCGGCTTTGAAGAGGCCCAAAGATTACGCCGGCGTCGTGATGATGGCGCCTCTTTTGGCCATGGACAAGGAGCAGGCCACGTGGTTTAGGGTGTGTTTTTTTTTTCTTTCTTGGGTGGGTGCTGCACTTGTCGATGGCGACACGCCTGAACTACCCCCTTGTGTACATTTATTAATCTATCATAATTATTTGAGTAAAAACAAAAAACTAACACAGCGAGACGGATGTCGTTTTCGGACTTTCGGCCGCGGACACAGCGTGTTTGCAGTCTTAGACGTGTTGTAAAGCTTAAACATAAACTTTTATAGGATTTACACTGAAACCCAACGAAGGTCATCCGGTGCACACCTCACCGAAAGGTTGAGGAATATTTTCTCACGCACCGGAAACAAGAGATCGCACTTAAATAAGTCGTACTCACTCTACGAGTACCTCGGCCGAAAGGTCAACCCATTAACTGGAATGCATGTAGGCTTTTATTTTGTGACTGATTCACGTAACCAAAGCGCTTTCTGATGCACATTTCTGCTACCATCCAGCGACAAACATTTCAGAGAGACATAGGACGCTGATGGTGGTAGTTGTTTCGCATTTCATCTTTCGTACCTGAATTTTTTTTCTTGCCCTTTTTGTTTATTATTTAACATGGCGGGCGCTCGCAGACAACCATGGCCAGGTTCCTGGGGAGGATCGTGCCCAACCTTCCCATTTCATCGCTGGATCTCAGTCTGGTGTCCAAGGACCCTGCGGTGGTCAACTGGATGACCCAAGACCCGCTCCGTTATCACGGCCTTGTGCGGGTCGGCTGGGCGGCCGCCATATTGAAGGCATTAGAGGTACACAACGTTGGCTGTCCGGAGCCTTTTTTTCTTCAGACATCGACCTACCGTTCCGCACGATGGGATTTATTTGGTGATAATATTGCTACGTTGCCTGGATCGCGTCTCTGACTGGCCTGGTCCCGGCGCGTTTATTTTGTCAAGTTCTAGTTCTGCCTGGTGACGTCACAAATGGAAAACGCAGCAGGTTTTCGTGTTCCTGGTGGTAGCACACGAACGGAGGTGAATACTGCAGACGCCTGTCCTGCCGTACCCTTCTGTAACTGACCAGTCGACCGACATTTTGTAGCCACAGGTTGATATACTGCTACGTTTTAAGTGTTGACGTTCGTTCACCTGCTGAGTCGCCGCCTCTACGGTTGACCACCAGTATTGCGATAATCCGAAGTGTTTCGCCACCGGGCTCGAGTAATGTCTGCCATGAAAACTACGATGTGTGGGTGGCATAGGACGCTAGACATACGAGTCAGAGACGAGCTCCAGACGCAGTGTTATTACTAAAATACGTTTTCAACGCTGTTGCTTCGCAGGAGGTCCAGTCCAAGATGGAGACATTCGAGGTGCCCTTCCTGATTCAACATGGCTCAGCCGACAAGCTCTGCGACCTGGGGGGCTCCGAATTATTCTTCAAGAAGGCACTCAGCAAGGACAAGACCATCAAAGTACGTTCGTGTTTGAGGTGTTTGGTGGGGACTACAGTTTTTTTTTTGATGCTAAAGCATTAACTGTCCTAAGGAGTGAGCGACGTCATCAGATGGAAGCGCGAAAACGGCACCTCGTTTCCCTGATCCCAAAGATCCCATTGACTGGCGCGCGGCGACGAGGCTCCCATTAGCCGCTGCGCGCGTCAGTTTCAACGACCGCCGCCAGATGGCGCTGCGTGTCCGTGCCGCCAAGTAGCGCAATGTTCGTCGATGCACGAGGCACGTGCTACATGCAGTCCAACGTTACTAGAACCACTCAGTTGGGAAACTGCCATAGAGATTGCTCTGAAAAAGTGGCCCCAATCTGTCCACCAGAACCGAGCTAATGGCGAACACAACGACGCCATTTCTCCCGCAGCGGCCACTCGAGGAACTGCACACTACTTCTATTTTGGCTCTAATCGGCCATTTTGGCGCCGAAACAGATACAGCGGAACAGGTTACAGGGGTGCCACCTCCGTCTCCCCAGCGGACGCGCCGCGAATCGCTACCGAAGTTAAAATGCACCTAGGTCGGGACGCGCTACCTGAAAGGACCGCTGAGGCATGGTTGTATAAAAACAGTATTAATTGTTCCGCAAAACCTTGCAAACTAAAGATTATAAAAACATCACGCGTTCTTCATTTTGTGCTAAACTCCAATAAATTTTATGCAAAAAGAGTCTTTTCCGTTTGTTTTTACGCAAAAGCATGCTTTCTAAAAGTTCAAGGTGACCACAGTACAGACAAATGATAAAGAGTGGCGCTGTTGTCGTATTTAGCTCGGTCTCGGTGGACGCCAGCGGCCCAGGTTTCGACGGCGAGTTTCCCAACTGAGTGTTCTAGTAACGTTGGTGCAGCCCTTGGGAAGATCATGGCGGCACAGCGCAGCACTGTAGGACTGAGCTAGATCTTAGACGCCATGAATTTCCCAGAAGTTGCGCGCGGCACGTGCCTCGAGCATTTATACTACAATGGATAGCGCCACTTTCCCCAGGATAGAGGGTCTTTAGTGCCGCCAGCGCGCCGGTAAAACTCATCGCCGCAACCCCATGCCACTACGGGCCCCGCGCCGGTTAAAACGGACACGTTGGTGCGCGTTCGGAGGCTTCGGCTCGTCTCGCCACCGACGAACATGGTGCCGCCTCTAGCATCCACATCGTCGCCTGTGCTTCTGCCACAACTTGAAAACATTAGTCATGCTTTCGCATTCACAACTCATAAAAAATGCTAAGTGTCTTCCGACTTTTTTTTTTTTTCTTTTATGAACGTGGATCTTTGAGAGACCTCTGGTTTTGTTCACTCTGTGTGCAGCAAAGGCAAAGACATTAGAGCGGGCACGTGGCTTTCAGATGTGCTTTCTTTTCGCGAGTCCTCGTGAGAGGAAAGCAAATATGAAAGCCAGGCCCTCGCGCCTGTGCTTTTGCGTCTGCTGCGCGCAACTCATAAGATGAAGTATACTATGCAGTAACCTCCCAGTGCATTGGCCGAGAGCCTCTGCCAGAGTATTTTCTAACGTCCGTATTTTTATGTTATAATTTAAAGTGGGCCCTCGTATTAAAAAATACATTTTTCTTGTTGAATTAATATTTCCACGTGCGAAAGTCACAGTTAAGGATAGGATCAGCAAATGTTCTATTTTTTTCATTTTTCGTTCACGTGTAATTAGGAAAGCATATTTCCTGAATATTCAAATATTTGCAAAAGCTCCTCCGAAGGCAATATTTTATCATTCGGTATTATCATAACATCTATGAAAGATACTGCGGTGTCCACTAAGAAGATCCAGAAATCGTTGTTTTAAAACATAAAAACATTTAAAAAAAAGAAGCATTAAACGCTCTATACATTTTCCCGCCGTAGTAACTCTGGCGGTTCGTCTCCCCTACGTCAATTCGACTCACACTGAATGATCATCGAAATCACGGGCACCTTTAAAGAGCCCCAGAAAAGAAACACCATTTTTTTTCAAACAGTTTGGTTGGGACACGCGTGCCAAAAAATATATTTTACGCAAAAAAAGAATTAGAGTAATATTGACTGCGAGAGATATACTTGAAATTCTGCGCGCAAATTCCATGACGTCACGGAATGGTCATTCGCTCTTTCAACCTCAACGAGATGGTCTTTCGCACTTTCCACCTCATCGTGAAGGCGAAGCCGATCCACCTCTCCTCTACGCGCCCGAAATGTTGAGAGAGAAAGCAAGTGGAAAGGAGGTGACCACCGACTAAATCGCGTCTCGCGCCGCCAATATTGCTCAACATTTTGTTTTTCACGTAAAATTATTATTATTTTTTTTTTGACACGCGTGCCCCAACCAGATTGTTTAAAAAAACTTTTTTTTTTCTCTTCTGGGGCCCTTTACCCGCCGTTAAGTCATCTTTAACTACTGTTACACGTGAGCATAGTTGCCACCACTACACTCACGAACAAACGATGCAAAATAAGTGACGAGTCAGCACGAACAGCTTTGATGGGAGCTCGAGATGTGCAAGCGTACGTGTGCCCAAACCTTCGACTGCATGGCCACAGAAAGTTGTCTAAGAGTACAGTGCACTAACTGTGTTTAAGCTAACTGCAGTTATGTGTGCCCATGTAACTTTGGTATACGTGGTGCTTTAACCTTAGCATACTACTCCCTTACAGGTGTACAACGACAGCTACCACAACCTGCTCATGGAACCCGACGGTGTCGGAGACCAAGTGCTCAAGGACATCGCGGAGTGGTACGCCACCAGGGTACCCGAGGTATCGCAGCAGGCGTAGCTGTGTACCACCACCCTATGCATACGCCACAGCTGCCAACCGATCAGCAATGCCAGGACCGCTCCATTCCTCGTACGAGGACGTGTTCAGAAATGAAGATGTGGACAGTTGGACCTCCTGGACACTTCGCTTGCCTTGGTGACCATAAGAGTGGATTATCAGTGTTGTCTAGATTACCGGAGGCTACGGAAATCTACTAACTATATTTTTCGACAACAGTCCGCCCTTTTTTTAAAGTTCTATTATCTTGACGGCAGTGGGCGAGAGAGAAAGAGAGATGGAGGTTAGACTGAGCGCATGAATCTAGCAGACTACTGTACAGGGGGGGGGGGGGGGGTGGAATGGAAGATGTTGGAAAGATGAAATCATATGGCGAACTGAATATGGACAACGGTGAGGTGATCAAAGTGACATTTTATCATACTTTAGACTAGACGGTCAGTGCCAGCCCTGCGTCTCACAAAATATAATTAACGCGTTTGTTGCTTTTACGGGGCATCGAATTGAATCCCAGGCGCCAGCAAGTGACCTGGTCATGAAGACGGCAATACGTCGGTAAAGCAGAGCGGATGTAGCATGCATCGAACGGAGGAACTTTGAATGGTTTAGGGTTGTGTATATCGGCCATAGCATTATAGCACGTGCATATTTAGTAAGATACTACTGCAGGATGTGTAACGGAAGTGTCGAAAACACCGGATGAGGTGCAACTTTTTGACCCAAGGCTATAGCACTGTATCTGGTCACAACCTAGCATTCCAAGTGTTTCCAGACCGAGTGTTGCGTGATAATTTTGTTAAACTCTTATTTTCGCATACAGGAGAGAGGCAAAGTATCATATCGCAGAAACGTGACCTTCCGAACAACAAACTGTCACAGTTAAGGCCGGTTCTCACATGCAGCGAAGCGCTGATGTAGCGCTCCTCACGTGTCGTCAGCTACTTATCGTCTGCCATGAGCAACAGTTTGGACGGTGCGACACAAAGCTGGTGAACGCTCGCATCAGCACGCGCTTAGCGCGAGGTCAGCGCTATGCTTGTAGCGCTCCGCTGCATGTGTGAACAGGCCTTTATGGGGTGAACTTAGTGCATGTGGTTCCTAGCGGTTGAGTCAATGCGTGCAGTACCTTCTGCCGTCGAATAGTTGCGAAATATTTTGTATTCAAATGGTAGGCATGATGCAATGTGTGCCCGATTACCACATATTTTTTGTAGCAAGGAAGGTGAAGGGTAATGGTATACTTTGGGCGGCCTAGACGTCCTGCCGCGTCCCTGTCGAAAGTCCGTTTTCATTTCAGCCCCGAGGTCTGCGTCTCACGCTGTGGCCGAAGACAGTTCCACGCGTGTTTAATGCCGTGCCTGCTGTGGAATCGTACGCGTGAATACATACCAAAGTGCCAAACAATAATTTCTTCCCCTGCCTCCAAAGAATCATTTCTCCACATTGCGGGACACCGATATTTATACGTGTTAAAACACGCCCACGAAAAGAAATAGTTGTGTATCTTTACGAAGTAACAATAGTAACAGACAAGCTCGTGCTCTATACGTTGAAGATCATAATGCCAATTCACGTACAAACTGAAGTCACTTAAGAATCAAAGCACGTGCATTATTATCTTCATGCTTTGACGTTTGGGAGAACGGCGGAGGCTAGTGCCACTAAATAAGATACGCTTCAGGGTAACGACACTTAACCTTCTTGTGGCTTAAGATCATGGTTGGCAGTCATCTAAAGCGTTATCTGAAATCACGGGAAACGCTTTTTCGTCGTCCACAAACGTTTAAACAGTTCGCGACAGAGCAAGGCATTATTACATGAGCTTTCGAACACCGAATCTAATGCTGAGGAAGTAGCACTTTTGCATCATGACGATTGGCACTTGCGTCTGCTCTGCACAAGCACCAAGATGACGACGCCCACAATAGTGTCCGGGAACCGAGTGCCGATACTCTAAGCGTAGCTCATTTAGTGTCTCTATAGCGGAGGCCTTGTGTTCTAGGTGGTATACGCAACCTGCAATGCTGTTTGGTTTGGCGGTATCTAGCGTCTGAAGCAAGAAACATTTCGTATGCCTGGTGGCAGCCGCGTTTTTCACACGTGAGCTATAAACCCCTTTCGAAAGACTGCCCTCTGTTGGCAGCCGTGGAATCTTTGCACAATGGCAGACTAAATACGCAACGTCACGGCACACTTTATGCGTTTGGTTGTATCAGAAGGCAAAAAAAAAAAACAACCCCCACACACACAAAAGGAAGATGATGAGCACAGTGACGTTGCAGTTTCGACGCTATTCGATTGGCTCCTCGGCTCTTAGCGTTGGCAGAGCTCGGACGTTCGTTATCTTATAGAATGACTTGCACGTTCCAAGATTTCAGTAGTTCCGCCATTGTGCAGTGGCTCCGACCTTTTTAATCGGCACGTGACTTTCGAAAGGGATCCTATGCGGAGAGCGAGTCGTCTGCAGCAGTTGCGGCGACGTCAGAACGACGCCGAGCTATGATTGGCTTTCATTGAGAAGATAGTGGGTAGACCTCAATGCTAGATGCCTTGTGGTCTACCCACTATTTTTTTTTTTTTCAAATCGTCCAATAAGAGCTTGGTGTCCTGACATCATTGCAACCCCTGTGCTAAAAGCAGACGAACTTTCGCTTGGCATTACTTTAGTGGGGTCGCTTGGCTTAGTGTCTGAAAAAAGAAATGCTGGGTAGGCCAGGAAGCCATGGGCGTATAGCGTGCCACTACGGCGTAAGCTGCGGCCCCTGCGGGCCAATCGGAACAACGGAGTGAGGCACGTGACTGCTTATCGGCGCGGAGTGCGTTTTTACTGCGTCATGCTGTGCCATGCTCCAGTATGTGTGCGTTGCGTTCGTATACGTGGCGCATATCGGGAAGCCGTCACAATGCAATGTAGGGCGTAGCGTTCCCCCTTTGCCAAGCTACAACGAGACAGGGTATAACCATGGGCTCGCACTTTGCTGGCGCCGACTGGCTGTTGCCGGCTGGCTATTGTCCGATGCTAGTTTTTACTCCCATCCCGTCCACTCTGTCGTGCCCGGGAAGGTTCACAACCCTCACAGTGACATTTCAAGATTCCCTATCGAGAGTGTATATGCAACAGAGTGCGTGAGCACCTAGGTATACTATATTCAACTTCCTGCACAATAAAGATTTTGGTATTTCGAAGGCGTACCGGCTTCCTGCAAAGTATGTCCCAATCGCTGCATGGGAAAACTCTGAACACGAGGATTTGGTTCAAAGCCTCTAGAAGACGGGTGAGTAAAACGAGCCTTAAGAAAGAGACGGCGTCGTGTTATCATAGCTCTGTACTCGTGACGACACGGCAAGAGCGTATTATGTATTGATTTAAAAACTGACAATGGATCGCGCGGTGACCGTTGCTAGAGTTCCTGTATAGGCTCACGTAGCTATACAGGAACTCTAACCGTTGCGTACAACAAGCGCCACCTATCAGATGCTCTGAAATCATCGCGCGAAAATCAAGGGTATGATCCGGCAAAATCCGAAACGAATATGGGTTGCTTACCATAGAATTAAAAGAGTTTATATGTAGGGTTGAAGTGATTATCTAATTCACTAATTATCGCTTCACTCGCTCTGCCCGACGTTCGCCGGGGTCAATGACGTTATTGTTTTATAGGACCTTTTATTTATCTTTAGTTATGCCTTGTCGTTCGAGAAACGCCGTGTAATAGTTTGGTGGGAAGTCCGAATGCTGGGAACATAGAAGATCCAAACTCCTTGTTTCAGCGCTCCTTTGAATATGCTTGAGGTACGGCATCTCGATGTCTCGTTTTACTACACCTGGCTCTTTACGGAATGCGCAATGACACGCAAGAGAGAGGCCAAATAGAGCCTTTTCGAAATTTCGAAACTATGCGCAGATTATGTGCGGCCGCCATTAGTTGGTCATGCACTGTGAGCACGCATCGCACATGAGCGCTTCATCAGCATTCGGAGTGTATACTCGGATCAGAACGCATTCCACTTGAGTGCTGCGTCAGTGCTCGGCGCGAACTCTGAGCCGATCACGGGCTTCACGCCTGAAGCAATGAGACCAACCATAATGGCGGCTATGCATAATCTATGCATCATTTCTTGATTTCGGAAAGGTTCTCCATTGGGCACTCTAAAAAAAGCCCGTGCGTCTACTTTCTCGCACAACAATCGGAGAGCCAATCAGCGCAACTTACGGAGGCAGGTCAGCGAATGACGATGCCGAAACATATGTTTAGACCAAAAAAACGCAGTCTAAGTTGTGTCATTAAGCAATGCAAAAAAGTCACGCTTGCATTGCTTAATGTCACATCTTAGACTGCGTTTCCTCGTCTAAACATATGTTTCAGAATCGTTATTCGCTGAGCTGCCTCCGTAAGTTGCGCTGATTGGCTCTCCGACTGTTGTGCGGGAAAGCAGACGCACGGGCTTTCTTTTCGAATGTACACAAGAAATGGTCATTTAGTTTGAATAACAACAGCAAAATATATATGGACGTTCCCTCGCTGAGCCTTTCAGTGTAATACAGAGGGCCGTAGCGTCGTTTACGCACGTACTCAGTGCCAGACGTAGTATACAGCGCTATACCTTCGTTTCACCTTACAATGCCCAATAAATTATTAAACCAAACGCGTCGTTTACGAGCTCATAGACACACCTTGTCTGCCAACGCCGGGCGTGGGCTCTGCGCACGCGCAGGAATCCGCTTCTTAAGGAGCGCATCCGTCAAGTGAGCGCCCCACCGTCAGTGGCGCCACCACTATGGCGTGATGTCACAAGTGGCTGTGCTATAATCTGTACCGGTGTTGGCACGTTATATTGCTTTAATGACCGTCTTGTAGATTGGGACTTCTATCATTTAAAGGCTCCAGCGGTCGGTGAATACATAGAGATCCGGGTTAATTTGTTTTTCGATGAAAATGATCGCGTGTTGTAGTCGTAGACACCTTAACGAAAGCAGGGTAAGGCTAATTACACTCGAGCTTCTTGGTTCGTGATTGGTTCTTTTCCGTTTTTAGGGCGTAATATGTCGCAGTCTCATTGGCTGAGGAGGGATAATTAGATGCTCCCAACTTGCTACGCCCTTTGTTTCTAGATCTGCCAGTCACTATAGTGAAATTACATTTTAGAAATATTACACTGGCCGAAAAAAAGAAGAAAAAATGTGATTTTCTGTTAATGGTTATTCGAAACTTGTAGCCTGGAAGGCGCGCAAACGTGCGGAAGTCACCTGGGCAAATGTAAAATGGGAAATCGATCGCATATTGTCCGATATCTGACGGATAGTATTAATGTAGCTAAGAATAGCGAAGTATGTTTACCTATTTCGAATACATGTCATTTTGCAGGTCCTACAGCTTGGTGATGTGTACGGACTGAGCATTTTGCCTGAGGCGGCTAATGCCGACGGCTGAACCGTATGTAAGCGATTTAGCGAGCGACGAGACGAGCAACGGCGGCACGCAGCGCAGCTCGCATCGAAAGCAGACTCCGTACCGGCGTCTGCTTTCGATGCTTCTTTCGATGCGACTTTTTGATACGTGCTGTGCTGCTTTTCCCCGGTGCTGCGATTTCGTGAAACTTTCACCGGTTCCTCAAAAACCGGGCTACCGTTCACTCCGGCTTTCAAAAACATGTTTCGTCAAACAATTTCAATCGAGCACGCAATATCACCCACGCTATTTTGACGGCAGCCTGCCACCATACCTGCCAAAACGCTGTATGCCATGGATGGATGATAGTGGCCGCAGCAGCTGTACCTTGGCTAGAGGTAATATAACTCTACCAAAAAGATGGCCGCCAGTGGCCGCATTCGCGGAGCGGGCAAACGCGATCCAGCAATTTTCATAGAGATCAGTGCTAGAACCGCATTTGACTAAAGCGAACGTTTTCTGCTATTTGCGAGATCAAATGTACATATTACCTATGATAATTGGTCGTTTATAACACTGCACAAAGTTATTTTAAGTAAAATCAAAAAGCATAATTCGTAAAAAAAAAAAAAAAGAAATACACGGAGCTGCCAAGTGTTCCAAGGCTACCCGACAGATGGAGGCAGTGTGTTCCCTCGTCCTCTGTTCTCGTCGTAAGAGTTGCCATACACTTCGTCGGAAGCAGTAGCAAATCTTTGAAACAGCATTATTATTTCCTGTATTTCTCTCGTTCAGCGCGATGTCGCAATAAAAAACAAATAAATAAAGATGTTGGTTTTATTAAAATCTTAAATAGTGGTCACTGCTGGTAAATCATTGTCTGAGCAGCCATATCACATATATAGTATGCCTTTTCTGCATGACCTTCGCCATTTTGAATGAAAGAACTTCGCGCTAGATAGATTGTGTTCTGATAAAGAGCAAATCTGTGGATGGTTATCATAGTCCGGAGGCTAGTAACTAGACATGTAAAGGCTACAGAAATAAAGTATCCAAATACCATTACTTCTTACTAAAAAAAAAAGATTAGAAAGACATTTAAGCACTTCTTATGAGTTGTGAGTGCGAAAGCATGAATGTCGTCCTTCGACTCCCTTAGTTCGTCTCCGGCGTAGTGGCGTGGACGGCCACGTTTCGCTACTGCCGAGGTAGCGGCCGACGGCCGAGCGCGCGTTCTCGTGAAGTGGCCGCGCCGCGCTGAGCTCGGTCGTGCAGCCTCTCCGGCGTTTGCCCGAGCGGGCTGTGCGGCCAGGGCCCGCACCTCCGGCGGTCGGGTCGCTGCGTGCGGTACGACACCATGGAGAGGGCTTCCACGAGAGCCAATAGGAGCCTCGTTCCTTTATGAAGCGTGCTAGCCAATGGGAGCCTATCCATCAGATCGCGGCTTCACTTCGCTCCATTGGAACAGGGGAATTTAGGGGCCGTTTGCCGCGGCTTCAAAGCTGATGACGTCAGTTCGCTCCATGGGACCAGTTAATGCTTTCGCATTAAAAAAAGAACAACTAAGCACGTTACTTGTTACTGAGTTTCAAAAGAAGCTACGCGTTATCTGAGCCTGAATTTGACGCGTTATTGCCTCATTACTCCGAATGTGTCGTTTTTATGAAGCAGTAGCCGCTCCCAATATTGGTATCGTCATTAAATATTCATTGCTTTTTAACGCACTCATTAAGGGATAATCGTCAGTATACAGATATACTTTCTGCACAACCTTTTATACTACACCCAGCGTTTTCTCGTCCTATTAATGACAGGTGCGAGCTGTGCTGAGAACTAGGTTGGATACTTTCCAGGCAGCACAGACGCGTTGAAAAGACGTCGAAAGAACTTAGATGACGTCAGGAACCACATGCCGAAAGAACGTCGAAAGTTTGAACGTCAGGTCCCTTCAACGTAATATGGAAAGGCTAATGTCTGAAAAAAAAGCGTGGATTTTGCGTCGACATAACGTCCCACTTAACGACCTTAGAACGTCGAGTGCACGTCTGAATTGGGCGGGAAGTCAAGTGATAACGTTATATCAACATTGACATTTCCAATTTAACGACCATAAAACGTCGAGTATACGTCTAACTTCTAAACTGAACGGGATGTCAATTGAGAACGTCATATATTAAGGACATAACGTACCATTTAACGACATAAAATGTCGAGCGCACGTCTATGGTAACGTTATGTCAACGTTGAAATAACGTCCCATTTAACGGCCATAAAACGTCGAGCGCACGTAGAGACTGAACAGGATGTCATTTGATAACGGTCTCGGCCTGGGTCACCGTGGAAGAATGGAGTCAACCAGATCTGACTTCGTTGCTCGAAGGTATGTTCGCGAAAGCATGTATATTCGGACGGAATGGACCATTTGCTAAATCCCCCAACGCGCCCCGGCCCGCACCCCAGGAATCATCGGAACGGTGTTCCTTCAGCTCCCTAGTGATCGGTAATTTTAGCCACTTCCATTGTTACGTTGTTTTGGGTGTAAATTGGAGTCACCATAAACATGCATCCTATAGTGGCCAAGGACCGGTCATATCACTTTTAAAATGTCTCGTTAACGACAGCGTTTTCAATACTGTGCAAGCTGTCCATCCTTGAACCTGGCTCAGCTGCGGAAATCTGTTACATTATTATCATTCTCTTACAGCTTTAAATACGCTGATATCAAGTTAGAAACGCTAAAAATGCTATAAACAGCCTCGCTGACTCCTAGCTAATTCCTGGTTTTCGTTGAGGATT